GGCGACCCGCTCACCCGGAAGTAGTTGTGGAGGGCGGCGGGTTGACGGGCGCGCGCCGCGCAGAGGGTACCGCCTGGATCGCGGGGCGGCGGGGTCGCCTCGGATGATGGAGCGGGTGGCTGGGAAGGCGACTCGCAGTCGCTCAAGCCCAGCTTGGTCCCGAGAGTTGGTACCGGAGCTTTTCGTGGCCGTACTTAGCCTGGTGGACTCTAAGCGGTCTGGCGGGAGGGCTTGGGGTAAGTGAGACACCTGACGCACCTACTGTGGGCAAGGATGAAGAGGGTGGGTATGGCTGACGAGATGAAAATACCTGATTTTAGAGAGTTTTACAGCTAAGGCTGTAGCCCGGTTAGTAGAGTGCTTGCTTAGTATACCTGTAGCCTTGGGTTCTATTCCCAGCATAAAACCAGGTATGTTGTCCCAGGTACCCCGGAGCCTGTGGCAGAGCGTCGAGTTTGAATCACCATAGTGATACCCGTTCACACACGTGAACGTACCAAACTGTGGGCCTGTCCTTCAATCCCAAAGTGTCTGGAAACCCAGCAGGTTCAAAGTTCAAGGCACCGGAAGACCAGCGCCTGCTCTCGGGGAAACTTGCCTTCTAATTGAGTAGATGTACGTGAGCAGATAAACAAGGTAATGACAGATTGTTGTGAAACTCAGCAGCAAGCAGTGGTGAGAAAATTTTGAGGGTGGGGTCTCTGGCTGGGGAAGATAGTCAGAAAAGACCTCTAGCAGGAAGTGATAGTTGATCAGGTATCTGGGGGAAAGGGCACAAAATGCTCTTGGACTCAACCTGCCACCTACGAAGACGGTAGATTTCAGAAGCCCACGGATAAGCCCACAGGTTCTATGTTAGGATTTTGTCTAATGGCTTCGAGAAGGGCTTACTGGGCTGGCCGTTCCCACTGAGACATCAAAGGCTTGGTCAGCCTTAGAGTTCATGAGGCTGTCACTATGGCATCAGTCCTTCAGGTTCAGCACGCAGGAAAAGTATGCTAGGACAAACTGTGTCTATCTGCCTGTGTCTGTCCACACACTCTTGGCATACATGAGGAACAATCTCGGGTGATTCCTCAAGACCCATGATTTCTCCCCCCCTCCTTTAAAGACATTGAAACTTTCATTGACCTGGAATTCACCAGGTCCGCAAAGCCGGCAGCCTCTCCAGGGCTGGGATTACAGGCATGCGCCACCACACCTGGCTTTCTTTTTCTGTAAAAATAGGCATTGAGGAAGTGTTCTGAAGCATCTTGAGAAGTTCACCGTTACCTCGCTTTCATATTTTGCCATCTTTGGCAACAGAAACAGCAGTTGGTCCTCTTGTCGTAAGAGCCCGTGGTATCAAATGATTCGAATGTTGTGCAGAATGTTGTGGACCGGCATTAACGTTCTGTCATTACCAGGAGTTCCTGATGCGGTCTGGAACCCTGAATTATATTGTGGGCAGTCTTTCTCTGCACATTAACTACTTTCTGCCAAAAATATCTATTCCCAGATCTCTGTGGAATATTTTGACATGTGAATGCCCCAGGTCTGCGTGGGCTGGGTGCTCTGGGGATATATTAATAAATGAAGGAAAATTTTGCAAATGTTTATGCAGCTTTGGAGAATGAGATGGCTGGATCTGTACCCATTTATTCTTTCCTCAACAAATCTTTCATAGTTTTCCTTGATGTCAAGAAATAAAACTTTTCCTTTTTTAATAACAAATACTCATTGCTGTGTTTTCTTTTTTTAAATATTTATTTATTTATTATGTATACAATGTTCTCTCTGTGTGTATGCCCACAGGCCAGAAGAGGACACCAGATCCCCTTACAGATGGTTGTGAGCCACCATGTGGTTGCTGGGAATTGAACTCAGGACCTTTGGAAGAGCAGGCAATGCTCTTAACCTCTGAGCCTTCTCTCCAGCCCCCTCATTGCTGTGTTTTCTTGCCTGAATCAGGTATTATACTTTTTATTTCTGTTATTGTGTTAGTATTGGCTGTTCTGGAACTCGCAGAAATCCTCCTGCCTCTGCCTCCCGAGTGCTGGGATTAGAGTTATGCGCCACCACCGCCACCCAACTATTTCTACTATTGTAATAGGTGAAAATCGATATATTTTAACATAAATTTCTCTTAATGACATTAATGTATTTTTCATGTTTCTCTTGTCTTTTCGTATTTTTAGACAAAACTGTCTTAGCAAAAACAATACTATGTTTCTTTGTTTGAAACATATCTGGAAACATCTTTAGTTCAAACATTAAAAATAAGCTGCTAGGAATTGTGTTTGCTTGCATGAGATCAAGCTGGTCAAAATTTCAGCATGGGTGGCAGAGGAGGTCCTGAGACTCCAACCTGGGAACCAAGGAGCTATTGGCAACTGTTGTCCGCTGAAGAAAAGAGAGCAACTTTTCTGTGGGTGTGGCCATGCCCCAGTGGCTGGCCCCACACCTGTGTACGTATGGCCAATAATAATTGTACTCAGGGGCTGGAAAGATGGCTCAATGGCTAGGAATACATGCTACTCTTTCAAAGGCCTAAGTTTGACTCCTAGCACCCACACTATGGGGCTTATAACCATCTCTAACCCCAGCTCAAGGGAAATCTGCCACCTCTGGCCTCCCTGGGCACCTGCACCCACATGTACATATTCACACAGACACACACATGTACACATAATTAAAAATAATAAAAATAAACCATAAAAATAATAATTGGTCAGGACTATTAATAATTTTAAAGTCGAGAGGAAAATGGATTCGTAGGTCCCAGGGGGAAAATAGAGGGAGGTAGTAGATGGGGGTAGATAAGATCAAAATACATTATGTGCAAGTATGAAATTTTAAAAAAAATAAAAGAGCTGCTTGGACTAGGGAAATGGTTCCACAACTAAAGCATTTGCTGTGGCATGAAAACCAGAGTTTGTATGCCCAGAATCCACATACATGCTAGGCAAGTGTAGCGTTCACCTGTATTCCTAGCATTAGAAAGCAGAGACAGGATCTCCAGGGCAAGCTGGCCAGCCAGGCAAGTCATAGCCATGAACTTGGTGTTGTACTGAGAAACCCTGCCTCAATGAATATGGTGCACACACCTACACGTTTGTTGTCACAAGTGCACATGGCTCATGTACACAAGAAAAAGTAGGCTGCCACTTTGTAAGCCAATGTGCACATGTACGTGCATATATGTTGGGAATATTTTTAAATTTTTTTTCTTCTTAATAAGCCTATGGAAACTTGGTAATATAATTGTCATAGGCTATATATGTTTATTTTTTATTTTTATTAAATTTCCTTGTCTAGATTTATTTTCTTTTAATATCATCTGTGTGTGTGCATGTGTCTTACCCAAATTTCCTTAATACTATCTTCTTACATACCTATAGTCATTTTGTTCTGTTTTGTTGTTTTTCAAGATAGGGTTTCACTGTGTAGCCCTGACTGTCCTGGAACTCACTCTGTAGACCAGGTTAGCCTCGTACTTACAGAGATCCACTTGCTTCTGTCTCCTGAGTCCTGGGATTAAAAGTATGCATCATTACTACCCGGATCCTATAGTGCATTTTTAAATCTAGATTTTTGGTTTTTGTTTCATATTCAAAAGGTTTCACTTTACAGTAATTTATTTCTGTTTTATTCATTCGGTTATATTTGATTTGGCTCTTTTCCTTTACTAAATAAGCAGATGTCAATAGCTAATAAATCTGCCATGTTTCTCATCTCAGATTATGTTTATTTTTCAAAATTTTTCCACAGCCAGGTCTGGTGGTTATATTAGTCCCTCATCTGTTACTGTAATAAAACACTGTGACTGAGGCTGTATACAGAAGGAAGGGTTGTTTGGGCTTATGATTGCAGAGGGTCAGGATGCCATCACCATCACAGGGAGTGTCAAGCATGGCAGCAGGGGCAGCAAGCTGAGAGCTGATCTTGATCCACTTTTCATCCTTACCTGGCTTTATTTTAAACTCTATTTCTTTTCTTTTTATTTTTAATTTTTGGTTTTTTGAGACAGGGTTTCTCTGTGTATCTTTGATTGTCCTGGCACTCTATAGACCAGGCTGTCCTTGAACTCACAGAGATCTGCCTGCCTCTGCCTCCCAAGTGCTGGAATTAAAGGTGTGTGCCACCACACCCAACTTCTTATATTTTTAAAGAACTTTATCCTTTTTCTCTTCTCTCCTAAGCCTACATATATTTTTAAACACACTATAAACCATTTAGAGGTTTTTCATCTGAATCTATCTTTACTGTATATCACTTTTTCTGACCACATGAGTCTTTAATTTGCTAAGCTATATGGCCAGGATTAAAGCTGTGGCTTTGACAGCTGGATCCAGCCCATCCCTTAGCTCTCTGAGAGTCTAGTCTCATGCAGGAGGTACTGGCTGGAGCCATGTTTATTGTTCTGCCTGTGGAGGCAGCCACAACTCTATGGCATTCCAAAGTCCCTGCCACCACCAAGAAGCATGCTGTTGTTGCTATTCATAAATATCATTTAAGTGTTTTGTGGTGGGGCCTCTTAAAAGATCTGCAAGGATTTTGCAGCTAAAGCTGAGTCAGGAAGCCTCTCTTAAATGAGACGTCCTTGCCTCTAACAAACAAAGCCCACCTGAGGAAATGTTGCACCAAGGAGCCTTGCTTAACTCTGTTCTTTTGTGTCTAGAATTCCTTCCCAAACTCAGGTTTTAAGTGAATTTAGTTGTCCAGGTTGGCACCATTTGTTTACTGAGATCTTTGTCCCACCAGGTCCCGCAGCCATTCAGTCCCAAAGAAACACACAGAGGCCTACATTAATCATAAACTGGTTGGCCTGTTAGCTCAGGCTTCTTATTAACCCTTACATCCTACACTAACCCATAATTCTTGTCTGTGTCAGCCTCATGACTTGTTACCTTTTATCTGTGAGGCATTCTCATCTTGTTTCCTCTGCATCTTGGTTACAACTGTGATGACTCAGACTGACTCTTCCTTTTCCCAGAATTCTCCTGTTCTGGTGGCCCCACCTATACTTCTTGCCTGTCTACTGGCAAATCAGCATTTTACTAAAGCAATAAACAACAAATCTTTACAGTGTAGAAGACCATTGTCCCACAGCAAACAACCTATAAATGGCATGAGTCTTTAAACTCTGAATACCCAGCCCAGTGATGTGCTTCCTTCAGCAAGCCACACCTCCTAAACATACCAAACATCACCACCAAATGGTGACCAAATATTAAAAGATGTGAGCATATGTGGAGCATGCTCATTCAGACCACCACAGTGGCTCACTCCTGTAATCTAGCACTTGAAGTATTGAGACAGGATTACTGAAAGTTAGGTCAGCCTGGGCTAAAGAGTGATAGTCTGTCAATTAATTAAATAATTTAAATTTCCAGACAGACAACAAAATTGAAAATTACTCATTGTAAGATTTTTTTACTTTGTAAGATTTTTACTTTATATTGTCCCATGTCATCCTATCCCCAACAAATTCCTCTATAAACCTGTGTATGTATTTTAATACATCTGATCACAAATATTTTTAGAGGTCAGTATTAAAGTAAAAGGAAAGAGAACCCTCCATTGGCTGGAGAGAAAAAAAAATGTAAACCCTGCTGTTTTTGTCAACGTGATACAATTTTAGATATCTTTCTGCTACTTTGACAAAGCACTGTGACCAAGGCAGCTTATAGAAGAAAGCATTTAAGGGGCTTACAGTTTCAGAGGGTGAGTCCATCGCCATCATGACAGGAAGAATGACAGTAGGCAAGCAGACATGGCACTGGACCAGAAGCAGAGACCTCACATGATCATGATTACGTGGATCATGATTCACAAGCATGACGTAGAAAGCTAACTGAGGCTTTTGAAACCTCAAAGCCAGCCCAGTGTAAAACATCTTTGCCAATGTGGCCATACTTCCTAATCCTTCCCAAACACTTCCACCACCTGCAGTCCAAACATTCAAATATATAAAAAAACTTTTGGGGATCATTCTTATTCAAATTATCACACAAATTTAGACATATCTGAGGAGAGAATATTAGTTAAGAAAATGCCTCCCTCAGAATTTCTGTAGGCAAGTCTGTGGGAGCATTTCCCACGATTGGGATGGGAAGGTCCAGCTCACTCAGGATGGTGCCACTCCTGAGCAGGTGCTCCTAGGTTGTGTAAGAAAGCAGGCTGGGTGAGTAAGTAGCACCCCCTTGGCTTCTGCCCCAGATCCCGTCTCCAGGTTCCTGTCTTGATCCTGCCCTGAAGTAGCTCATAAATGGACTGTTAGCTGGAAGTATAAAATGAAATAAACTCTTTCCTCCCCAAGTTCTTTTTGGTTTTGCTCTTTATTATAGCAATAGAAACAAAACGAGGACAAATGCCCAAGTATCAAAACAAGAACACCACAACCTTCTAATGCAGGATCTCATAAGTGTGTCTGGCTCTGTACAGACTCTTCCAGAAGGGGCAGCTTGCCCTTTAGTCCTAAGAATAAACAAGGAAGTATAAAGTACTTTCTTTAGTCTTAAAAGAGAGGAAAGACTGATAAGAAGAAACTGTTTCCGCATCAGTTTCATTTGAATGCCTATCACAGATAATCAAGTGGTGTCTCTTTCTGCACTTATAAGTGAGCAATAAAACTATATATTGTGGCTTACTTATCAAATTTTACTCCATCGTAAAACCAAGTACACAGGCAATAGAAACATGACCATAAAATAGAATCTCTCCCCTTAAGGAGCTCAAATATCACCATTTCTGTGTAGTAAACTTTTAGATTTATGTTTTTTCCTTAGGATCCTCCTGTGTCTACTTCCCTGACACCCAGAGGACAGATGTGCATTACTGTGCCCAGCCTTTTTTAAAATTATTTTTAAAGTTATTTTTTATTGATATTTATTGAGCTCTATATTTCTCTCTGTTCCCATCTCTGCCTCTCCCCTCTCCCCTTCAATCCTCTCCCAAGGTCCCCATGC